TCAGTGGTAAAATATGCATAAGGTTGCATTAACCATTTTAAAGTGGAAAATCATTCCTCAGAAAATTAAAAATGGAACTTTCGTTTGACCCAGTGATCCCACTTCTGGGAATATATCCTAAAAAACCCAAAGCCCCAATCAGAAAGAACATATGCACCCCTATGTTCACAACGGCGTTATTTACCATAGCTAAGATATGGAAACAGCCCAAGTGCCCACCAGCAGGTGAGTGGATAAAAGCTGTGGGACATGTGCACCATGGAATACTACGCGGTTGTAAAAAAAGAAGGATCTCTTACCCTTTGGGACAGCATGGAGGGACCTGGGAAATACGGTGCTAAGTGAAATAAATCAGTCAGAGAAAGACAAGGATCACACAATCTCACTTACTTGTGGAATCTAATGAACAAAATGAATTGGCCAACACAATAAGACCTGAAGCAGGGAGGCATGGAACAGACTGACCTACCTCGATGTGGGGTTGGGGGGGACAAGAAGAGATAAACCAAAGATCCTATAAACGTAAATGCACAGCCCATGGGCATGGGCAATAGGGCAGTGAAGGCCTGAGGTGGGTAGGGGCCGGGAGGAGGGTAGTAAAGGGAGAGATGGGAGATATCTGTAATACTATCAACAATAAAGAATATATTTAAAATACATAAAATGTAGCCCTAGCTGGTTTGGCTCAGTGGATAGAGCGTCGGCCTGCGGACTGAAGGGTCCCAGGTTCCATTCTGGTCAAGGGCACATGCCTGGGTTGCAGACTCAATCCCCAGTAGGGGTCTTGCAAGAGGCAGCCGATCAATGATTCTCTCTCATCGTGGATGTTTCTATCTCTCCCTTCCTCTCTGTAAAAAAATAAAAAAGATAGAAAACATAAAAATCAGTGGCATTATGTCCATGGACTCTGTAGTTCCGGAACTTCTTTATCGGAACAGGAAGCCCCACACCCATTGTCACCTCTCCGCCCAGCCTGTGGCCGCCATGAACCTGCTTTCCGTCTCCGTGGACCAGCCTGTGCTGCGTTATTTCCTAGACATGGAGTCATCTGTGTGCAACGTTAGGAGTCTGTCTCCTTTCACCCCGCCTGACGCCTTCCACGCGCGTCCGGGCTGTGTCCGCGTCCCCGCTTCACTCCTCGAAGGGGCCTCGGACGGTGCCGGCTGAAGGTTGAGAACCAGCTGGATCCTGTGCGCCGTGGAGCCCAGAGGTTGAGAGTCTGATGACCAGTGAGGAGCTCTCCCTCCCGTCAGCCTCTCTTTGCTCATCTGTAAAATGGGGTAATAGCGTCTCTCACAGGGACATTTGCCAAGTGGTGGGTATGTTGTAGTTGGTCCAATCAGGTGTCTACTGCTGGACATTCAGACTTTTCCTAGTTGGTTTTTAAAAAATATATATTTGTATTGAATTCAGAGAGGAAGGGAGAGGAGAGAGAGAGAGAGAGAGAGAGAGAGAGAGAAACATCAATGATGAGTGAGAATCATCGATCAGCTACCTCCTGCTGGCCCCTACTGGGAGTCGAGCCCGCAACCCGGGCATGTGCCCTGACTGGCAACCCGTGCATGTGCCCTGACTGAGAATTGAACGGTGACCTCCTGGTTCATAGGTCCATGTTCAACCACTGAGTCATGCCGGCCGGGCCTTCCTAGTTTTCTTTCTTTTTTTAAAAAAATTGATTTCAGAGAGGAAGGGAGAGAGAGAAACATCAATGATGAGAGAGAATCATTGATCAGCTGTCTCCTGCACGCCCCCTACTGGGGGGGGGGGATCAAGCCCACATCCTGGGCATGTGCCCTTGACCAGAATCGAACCTGGGACCGTTCAGTTCTCAGCTGACGCTCTACCCGCTGAGCAAACCCGGCTTGGGCTCATCATTGCTGTTTCTCTCTCTCTCTCCTTCTCCCTTCCTCTCTGAAATTAATAAAGAAATACATAAAAAAAATAAACACACACGCACACACACACACACACACACACAAACTTATACATTTGACTGTGGAGACTTCTGCCCCCGGCAGCGTGTGCTGGGGGCTGTCCGGGTTGCTGCAGGCGGTGCCCGCGCCTCCTTTCGTGGCGGCACAGTGCCCCCTGTGTGATGAATACGCCTTGTGCCGCATATTTCCTAGAAATGGCATCATCCGAGAGCTATGTACACCCTCGGGCCAAAGCGGTAAACCTTTTAAGGTGTAGACACGCCGATCGGGCTTTTCCGGGCCCCTCAGCTTTGCGGAGAGTCCTTTCTGCGGGCCGGCTCCCCTTCTCCGTTTCTGGGGGGTGGGGTGCCGGGTTTGGGTGTGTCTCCGAGCTGGGAGTTGATAAAGGAGCAGTATAAACCGAGGTCTGGAGGCTGGAAGCACGGATGGAGGACACCCAGGAAGGCGGACTTCCTCCGAGAGTTTTATAGCTGCGCGCCTGAGGCCCAGAGAGGGCAAGCCACTTCCCCAAAGACACAGAGCGGCGGCTCAGAGAAGCCAGCTATTCGGTGCGGGACACGCAGGCGTCAACCAAACAAAGACCCCCCTGCTCCCCAAGTGCGGAGCTCGTTATTCTGGGCGTAATTAGGGTGCATTGCTAATTATGTTTGCCTCTAGGATGGGAGCAGGGAGGGGGGTGATGCTAATTGGGGAGGGGGTGCCCCAGGGGAGGCTCCCATGAGTCAGGGCTTTCTCCCAAGCCTCCCTGCGTCCCTCCTTCCGATCCGTTCAACCCCAGCATGTTGTTGTGTGCACTCCCGAAATTAAATGGGGGGATTTCGGGGAAAGAGAAGGTCGACCGGGAGGGAGAGTTAAGAGCCCTTTGTACCCGAACAGCGTTGTCAATAAAGTTTTGTCGCCTTGGCAACCGCCTGCCTCTCCGGGCGGCGGGGCGGGGCACGAGGGTGCGCGCGCATTCACCCCTCCAGCCCTCCCCTGGCTTTCTGCCTCTGGGGGCTGAAGGTCCACTAGAGGAAAAGAATAGGGCGGTCGCGACTTCTGGTGACGGGCGGAGACTTCAGCCAATGGAAGGATGAGCCCTTCCAAGGCAAACCAATCACATCTTATTTCTGGAGCCGGCGGAGCCCGCCTCCTTCCCACTTGGACCCGAATAACCTGACCCAAACCGGAGTTGCGGCGCTTTTAGCCAATGAGGGAGCCGACTGCGGGCCGTGGGCGGGGATACGTCTCCATGGCAGCGCGCGAAGGACAGCGGCGGGAACCAACCGCAGCAATTGGCGGCGCGGACGGGCGTGGCGGGGTTTTGTGGGGGCACTGACGGGGTTTTGTGGGGGCGGGCGGAGAGGCCAGAGCTGAGC